AGGGTCATTGATTTGGATGGTTAAAGTCCTCAACACCTCAGTAACGCTAGCCACTTTCTTCTTAAGCTCTTTGACTTCTTCTTGACTCGCCATTATCTTCTTAGCTTTTCTTTTCTAACTGACTAGTTTATCAAAGAGTTGTACTTGAACAAAAAGGTTGTCTTTGATTAAACGCCTTCCTTTCTTGACCACGCATTGTAAATTAAACCATTTATTTGTTTTAATGACTTGACTCAAATTGACTTTGACTTTACTGGTTTATAAAGAAAACAGCAAAAATAGGGTGCATATTTTTGGGAATCAAGTTTATGGGTTCAATTAAGTGGTTTAATTGGAGGATTAATATCCGACTTACCACTCTAAAAAAATGACGAAAAACACACGCATACAAGACTCTCTAGACATGGTCAAAGTGTACATTCATATTAGTGTGTGCTTTATTTGTGAGTGCAAGTGACTTGCTTTGACCTTTGTATATGACCACGGGACTAAGTGATTAGACTCAATTAAGGACTAAATATGGTTATTGCCATTAACAAACTGATCAAATTGATTAATAAATTGTTTAATTAGAATCGTCGTGATGACTCGAGCAAAATACTGAACTGTCGCCAAAGCAACAGGACTGTCGCCGCACACTGCAGTGCAGCACCAGATGACAGAGTTGTCGCACGGCGTTGCACAACAGCATTTGGCGCTGCAGCCCAGGTTTTTGCACCATTACTGGAACATTAAACTCGGACTGCTTTCAGTATTTTTACTCTACGGGAATAGGCCTAAAGTCGTACTAAGTCAGTTTTGGTTAATTTATTAAACTTTAATTAGTTAAATTAATTAATTATTAATTTATTAGGCAAAGTCATTTTAGTCATTAATCATTTTATTTATACTTAATCACAAGTCAAACAAACGGTTAGGAAAAACACATAGAATATGCACAACAAATAATGCACAAATAGTCAAGTAGGCACAATATGATGCAATGAGTTTGTAACCTAACCATGGCTCTAGTTCCCTAAAGTTCGGGATATGGGTTAGTCAAAGAGGGTCCTTGGTTATGAGTTCGGATGCACCGCGCAGAAGACTTACCCTATGAAGGGTTGGCGCGTGCATGTGGATGGGATCCCGCGATTTAAACTCGCTTCCATGGTTTAGTGAATTCAACATTCTCGGATGTACCCTTTGTTGCTCAGAGCGTTCAATCAGGTAGATGGAGCATGGATTCCCAGAGGGTTATGTCCATATGTAGAACACATATGGGTTTCAGAAAAAAGAGAAAACTCAATCAGGAAGTAGAATCGAGACAACAGTGCTAAAACTAGTCGAAATAAGAAGGTAGATTTCTGGCTCGGTATTACGTTGCTAGAAAACGGAGTCCGTCGCTAGAGAAATAGCTCTGACGACAAAATTATCGCCAGGCGACACAACTATTTTTCAGGCGACGCATGGCGTTGTCTAGATGCTAGTTCCTACATGCCACAACAACTTTTTGGGTTCTTAAAATTTTCCAGTTTTCACAGTATTATTTCGATTCTAGTTGTGAAAGATATTTCTAAAATTTCCTACGTGTAAAAATCATATGTTTTTGACTCATCACGGATGGTCTTTCCAATGAGAACCTTTTTTATGCATATTGTAGACATCTACTTTTGGCCTCCTGTCCCGACAGGAAGTGCAATGACGATAAATAAAACCATCTTTGTGTTGGATTAAAGTGAAGAATACTTATGGAGAACTGGTTAAGCCACAAAACACAAAAGACTAGCCCGAATTAAAGATAAAAGACAAAACAAAGGACCAATTAACTAAACCCGATCATAATTAGGCTTAAGCCTGTGCTTACCCAATAATTCCGGATTTAGGAGCGCCTAGGTTAAATTTTAATGTTGCCGCAAAAAAAGCCACGCGCATCTCAAACAGTCGCGCTGGGCTGCCGTGCGCGCGCAACACCCAGCGCAACCTCCAGAGTTGCGCTGCAGAAGATTCAGAAGTATACGAAAAATATAAAATCGAATCTTACCATAAAGCCGCGCGCATGATAATTAGGTACGCTTCACTTGCGCTGGGATGTCGCGCTCAACTCATCCTGTTGCGCGCGAAAACTGCTGCGGCAGAATGCTCGTAACCCTATACCTAATCATTCCCTATAAATAAGAGATTAAACCGAGGCTTAAACACACAGAAAAATAACCTAAAACTCTGGCAAAATACGTGTGAACTTGCAACCTAGCCTCTCTTGTCCTAAAAACTCACCCCTTTTGATATTTTGTTACTACGGTGGAGGTTCCCTAACAAGAAGGAGTCCATAAGTATTCTAAACGGAGATCTAGCATAGATGATAAATTCCCGAGCACTTAGTTAAATCATATTTATTTTCTTGTTTAAAAGAACCCTAATTAATTAATTAATTAGTGTTGTTTGATCTCCTTTAAAATAATTAATTAATCAATTCCACATATTATCTTGCGTTAAATAAAGATTAGAATTGAATTAAATAATTGTTGATTGATCACTTAAGCCAAGGCGAATATTGTTTATTTTCTTGTCCTTTTCACGAATTTGATTAAATAAAGAATAACGACATTATGATGTAATTCCTTCGTGAATCAGTATGTGTAAATAAAATCAACTAACATAGTTTTAGGTAACGCGTTGCATATATTGTTTGGTGATGAAATTGTAAAAAAAGGAAGAGCTAGTAGAAGCCGCACTAGGGCTAGGATAACGATTCCCCTCTAAAGGGAACTTTATTTTAGTACCCTCGCTCCCGAACTCATTTCTTGTTTGTAGACCAATTTGGGCATGGGTAAACTTATGATTTGTGCCAATTATTCCATGAACTCCACATGGAAGAAAGGCATGATTGAGGTTTATTGGTTTTCCTAAAACTTATTGGCGACTCCCTACTTGTTTCTTACAAAAAAGCGTAATGATAGAATCAATTCTAATTCAAGGTCCCCCAAACAGTCAGGAATTCAAATCCTATTACACCCTAACAAGTGTAAAGTCCTAGGCTTTTAAAGGGCCATGGGAATTTAAGGAGAGGACCCCTTACGACGGGAACCCTCTCCTTACACATATGACAATAATGTTAATCAAAATTACGCACATGAAATACTTATAACTTTTCGAGTCTCATCCACTCATTCTAAATCATTGCCAAAATAAATTTTAGGAATTAAAATAGAAATCCTCCCCAGTGGATTGCCAAAAACTATAGGGAATATTTCAATCATTACCCCAAACTTGAACTTCATTGTGATTATACACTTAAGCATGGCGGCGTCCAAAGGGAAGGGAGCTAGAGCAAAAAAGTTGCCAACAAGTTTTAGGAACTTGTAAACCGTTCACAAGGTGAAGGTTACACCCCTTAATGATCCAGGAGATCGTTAACTCCAATAGGTCTGGAACCAAGACTGGAAGTTCGGGGATGAAGGTACAAATCCAATCTAAAAGAAAGAACCTGACCTAATAATAGGCCTCTACTTTATTCTTCTCGTATTCATGTGCACTTTCTGACTAACATACAATCAATAGGTTTACCCTAAACCTGTTTATTCTATGTTGGTTGAATATTAATGCTTAAATAAAACTATTATTGGCGATCACTTAAATTATAATCATATTAACCCTAACAAGATTATTTATTATCTTATTAAGTGTGATTACAAGTACCAATTCCCTTTAAACATGCATAAAAGGCGTGATCAAACAATAACAATAAATATAATCAAGCAACATAATAATCATAATAACATCAACAATAATTATAACCATCGTAAAAATTATAAAAATAATCATGGTAAAGCATAATAATAGCAAGATCCTAGGCATAACACTAACAAGATTAATAACAAACCCTAACGTGTCACTAAGCAATAAAAATCAAAGCTTTAGTCCTAACATGATACTAACATGATATTGAAAGAAAATAGGAAGCATCATAGAAATCATAATTGATATTATTAAGAAACTTATTCTTTACCATAAACATCATACTAAGAAAAGCATCCCATCATGATATTAGGAAAAACATCCTAACATGATACTGACTACCTAAACATGAATTCTATATCATAATATCAATTAAACAATTAAAGCACTTACTTGGATGCCTCGTATCTCTTTCTAATAACAAAATAAACGCGTTAGTAACTTCAAGGAAAATATAAAATATAAGAATTAAATTAAATAATTGAAATAGAGATTTGGGACCAAACCCTCAAAAATATCAAACCTTTCACGTTTAGGGCGAAGGTAACTTCGAACTTGACTAGATGTGTCTAGATCTTGTGAATGCGGACTTTTGTTTTCAAAAGGGTAGTTTAGAGAGAGAGAATCTAGAAATTCTTGATGAGAGTTGATGAGAATTGATGATTTAAAACGGAGGTTTAAGGACGCTATTTATAATGAAAATAGTCCGGAATTGATAAAAAGAATCAGAGTTCAAAAAGGAATAAAACACGCCTCTGTCGCCAGGCAACAACCTGACGTTGGCGTTGCAAAAGATTTTCCACACGTTTTCTATTTTTTGATAAAATCAAGTCGTAAAAGTCCGTACGAAGGGTAAAATCGTAATTTCACATAAAACACTTCTTTTATTTCAAAGAAAACTCATAAAACATAATTATTAATCCTAATCATATAGGAATGATGATTCACAATAGGCCCTCCTTTAGATCATTGGGCCCCATAGATCAAATCGAGCCTAGTTTAGTAATTTGGCCATAACTTCCTCATTATTCATCGGAATTGGGCTTATAATTGTCGTTGGAAAGCTCTTTTCGAGCCCAATCCAACTATACCATTATTGGACCCTTATTATGGACCAAACTAAACTGGATTGGCTATTTTCATAAAAGAGTAGGTTTTCGAAAACAGAAAGTGAGATTTTTAATAAAAACTAAACGCAATATTAGACTTTCCACACCTTCACTTCATTCGATTATGATTTGATGCGAAAGGTATTCATCACCGGGTTTGGTTTTGGGGAGACACAAATGGGTGTCTACAGAATCATTATATACTTATTGCCGTTGACTATGTATCTGAGTGGGTTGAGGCCATTTCCACTCCTGCCAATAATGCCAAGGTGGTTCATAGACATTTCAAGAAGACCATATTTCTATGATTTAGAGTACCTAGAGTTATAATCAGTGATGGAGGATCTCACTTTCATGGGCGAAAGTTAGACACCCTTCTCCAGAAGTATGGTGTATACCATAGGACATGTCTAGCCTATCATCCCCAAACTAGTAGCCAAGTTGAAGTTTCTAACTGTGAGATCAAGGCCATTCTAGAGAAGGTGGTAGCAAAATCAAGGAAATGGAGTGATAAGTTGGATGACACCCTTTGGGCATACACAATTGCATTAAAGACCCCAATAGGTACTCTTCCTTATAGACTTGTGTATGGTAAAGCATGTCACCTCACGGTGGAATTAGAGTACAAAGCATATTGTGCTATTAAGGAACTCAATTTGGATGCTAAGCTAGCGAGAGAAACGAGGCTACTTCAACTTAACCAACTTGATGATTTTAGGTTAACGGCCTATGATAGTGCACGTGTCTACAAGGAGAAGACTAAGAGATGGCACAACAAGATGATCCTTCCGAGAGAGTTCAAAGAGGGTGACAAGGTTTTGTTATTCAACTCTAGACTTAAACTTTTCCCAGGAAAGTTAAAGTTAAGTAGGTCAGGTCCTTTTACCGTAAAAAGGGCTAATAAATTTGGCTTTGTGGAATTAATTGATGAGCATGGTAATGAGTTCAAGGTAAATGGTCAAAGACTTAAGTTGTACCATGAAGGGGCTACTATTGGTGCGGTTGAATTACTTCACCTAATCAATTCCGGTTTATCTTGAGCGGCATTGTGGTAAGAGGGTCGTGCGGGACCTAGATAAACCAGCGCTTTGCGCGAGGCAACTCGTATTTCTTGCTTTCTAGACTAGTTTTTCCTTCTTTTTATTTTTTATTTTTTTAGAGAGGTGAGAGGAGAGTATAATTTTACCTTTTCAAAGTGTTTTTGTACAGGTTTCGAATCAACAAGTAAGGAGATTTTAAGAGAAAAGGATAATTATTCTGAGGTGGGCAGGGTCCTGATCGGGCGGACCTATCCCGATCGGGCGCGAGAGTGAAGTTTAAATTGGGCGTTAAATCACCCGATCTGGCAACCACGCTCGATCGGGCGCGAGAGTCAGCCAATTTTCGAGTACGAAATTCGCCCAATCGAGCGAAGCTTGCCCGATTGGGCGCGAAAGTGAAAGAAGAATCCAAAGGATATTCGCCTAATCAGGCGGATGTGCCCGATCGGGCACAAAAGCGGAGAAATAGAGTCACACGAAGAAATCCCGGGCGAAGGAATTGAGTGAAAATAAAGATCCCCTCGCGCCCGATCGGGCGTGCAACTATCAATCTAAAAATCTGGATCTTCGCCCAATCAGGCGGACCTGTGCCCAATTGGGCACACCTATTTTATGCCGGGATTCATATTTCCTTTCTCCTCTTTTCTTTTCACTTTCCTCCTTACTTCATCTCTTTCATTCACTCTTTCTCTCTCTAAACTCCATTAACGTACCTTCAACCTTGCTTTTCCAATCAAGATCTTCTCAAATTCTTCCATCAAAACTCAAATTTTTTTACATATTCTTCATCATCTCACTTTCCTCTACATTCTCCATCTAATTTTCACTAGTTTTTCTCAAATTTTTAAGAAAACCTAAGAGAGAGAAATCTTCAATTTGTCAGAAATCAACTCGAATGGCATTCAAGAGATCAAGGACTCAAAGGGGTGAGAAATCAAAGCAACAACCAACACCCATGGTTGACCCGGAGTTCTAAATTCCGGGATGGAGCGAGGTTGTGGTAATAAGCATCGAGCAAAAGACTAGGATGCTCAACCTCATCGAGAGGCAGGTAATTTCTACTCGTTTTGTTCATCACCCTACCTTGTCTAGATTAGGAATTGACAATGAAAAATTGTTTACGGGAATTGGAATGAGTGGTTTATTTAACTTGCATTACGATACTTATGATTACTTGACTGTGGAATTTATTTCTACCTTTAATTTGATTAACTCTAGTGTATCTGTTTGTCATGTCTAATTCCGTTTGCTTAATAATGATGTGAGATTTTCTTTGAAAGATTTTGGTAAACTATTTGAGCTAAAATCTGATAGGCCTACGGAACCACCTAGGGATTATTGTGCCGAAGTCTACTTAGCTTTGACAGGGAATGTTAGAGAATCTCCAACATGCCAAGGGAACTTGGATTCAATATCCCTTGCTAAAATTTTGACAACGGTTTGTTAGCCTCACCATCTTTGGGAGGCATGAACCGGCAAACGTGAGGAGGGATGAGTTAGAGTTGTTAGCTACCTACAAGATCCCTAGGAGTGAAAAGTTAAACATCCCACTTAGGATGGCTCAACACTTCCAAAGAAGTGCTAAGGCGGTTGAGGCAGGTAGAGCTAGGACCCCTATTTACTTTGGTGGGTTACTCACCCACATTGCGGTAAAATAGTCAGGTTTTACACCCAATGGCCATAAAAAAGTAAATGACCCTACCATCATGGACCTAGCATACCTAGGAAAACTCAACTGGATCCAACCTACCTCTAGTGAGATATGGTGGATAATTCATAGAAAGTCGGGTAGGATGGATCAAGCCTTCACATTGCCTAACCTTAACTTGTCCAAGTTCGAAAAGGGTAAGTCCACTTACACTTTTAATCTAGGTAACCAAGGAAAGGCTCGAAAGGCTCACCACTCACCACCTCAACCACAACCCCAATTCCAACCACAACCCCAACCCTACATGTATGATATCCCTACTTCTTCCGTTGACTACAACATCGATCCCAATGCACCATATGACTTCTTGGATTTTAGGAGCCAACTTGATAGGATTGAGAGGGGGAAAGGAAGGATGGAGGGTTTAGTTCAAAGCCTTAACTTTAGAGTAGGTTCTCTAGATAGACGGGTTGGGCACGTGGAGAGAAATCTAGGGAGGGGTTTATACCCCATGTATGATGATTATGCTCGCCGAGGGGCTATTCCCCTAAAGGCTCTTGTTCCCGATTGGTTTCAATATCCTCAAGGAGGGTAATCGACCCCCGGTGCTTTTGGTAGTTATGTAGACTATTATTCGTTCCATGGTTATGGGGCCGATGTCCCTTTTGGTGGGATTGGGGGGGAATGTGGATCCTAACTATTTTGCAGGTGGTTTAGGTCATGGAGGTATTGGTTTTAGCTATGGAGGTGTTGGCTCTACCCATGGTGGTGGCTATTCTAGGATGGGGGAGGATGAGGACGATGATGAGGAGTAGCTAGTCCTAGCTGCACTCCTAAGTCAATGAGGACATTGCTTGATTTGGCTTAGGGGGAGATGATCTTGTATATATGGTATTACTCTCTCTCTTTTTTTCTTGTTATTGATTTTTAGTATAGATTTTGCTTTTTAGAGTAGTTTGCTTTTAAAAAAACAAAAATACAAAAAAATTATTAAACTAAAAATACGTTTTAATGAAGAAAATAAATCATGCTTCCCTGTGCCCCTTGAAAAAAAAAATTTGTTTTGACTCTTGGTTGTTGATAACAAATATTGCAGATTATTTGTTCATGATTTGATGTTTGATTGCCTTAGAATCTTAACATGCGTCAATTTTGTCCAACTACTTGTGAATATAATACTTGACTAGTTGATTGGGTGAGGAATGTGTGTTAGTTCCTGGTACATCAATGAATTTTAGTATTGATTTGTGACTATGAGTAATGTTTACATGATTCACTATTATGCACAATGTGGAGGACGAAGACATTCATTCTTTTAGGTAGCCTTCAGACGATTTAGATACATTTGTTCCCTTCTTGCTACCCATGTTGTTGCTTGTTCCCTTTCATTGTTTATTTAGCCACATTACAAGCCTAATTAAGTCCCATTGGTTACTAGTCCCAAGCTTGGCTTGTGGGAGCTATTAGTTAGTGAGGTGAGGGAGTTGTGATGTGCACATAATTTGCACAATGTGAAAAAAAAGAAGAGTGATTGTTCTTTTGATATTGTGATTGGAAAAAATGTTGATAATTTATGTTTCAAAGTTGAAAAATTCCAATGTGAGATATAAAAGAAAAAAAAGAGCAAAAGGAAAATAATTATTTCAATGTTCAAATGTTCTATGTGAAGGTTGCTCAAAAGAAAAAGAAAAATAAATTCAAATAAAAAAAAAATTTCAAGTTTGAAAGGAAAAAAAAAAAGGAATGAGTTCAAAGTTTGTTTATTCACTCTAATTCTTTAATATCATATTTTTATGAGTGAATTTGTAAGTGATGGTGGTTATGTGAGATATCAATTTGGTTGTTTGGTGAACTTTTGTGGAGTTAAGTTGTGATTGGAGATGATTTGGTCATTACTTGTTTTTGACCTTGGGTTTTATTAGGATATGGCTCCCTTAAGCATGGCTTTACTACCACATTTTCCCCAAATATTTCCTACCTTTTACCCTAGCCTTTCATTACAAGATTTAAAGAACTTCCGACCTTTTTGCATAGAATTGTGTAGATGTGAAAGTAGTTGTTTATCAATGCAAAGGATGACTTGATATGTTCCAAGTCGAAAATTTAGGTTGAGTGATTATCTCTTTAAACACACGAGTGTTGTGAGTTTGGGAGGGCATTGTTCACAATAAAGGGGTGGTTGGAGAGCGATCGAGTACATTCTTTACTCGTCACATAAATGAGAGTTGAGTGTGTGAGCACTAGTCTTGAATTCTATATGCTCTTGTGGTTTGCCCTACTTGACAATTGTTAGGGAAGATAGGAAGTCAAATGGATTTGAGTGATTGATTTTGATGCATGTTTGTTGGATTGGCCTTGAGTTATATTGTGGATCTTTGATTTGATGTGGGGTGAAGTCATGGTTTGTTTTGATTTATTACCTTGCTTAGGGACAATCAAGGGTTTGGCTTGGGGGAGTTTGATATGTCTATTTTATCTAGAATTTTACCCCCGTCCCTTGGTCATAATTGGTAGTGTTTTTGGCTCTTTAGAGCCACTTTTATTACTAATGGGTGTTTTCTAGTGTTTTCGTAGTTTTTGTTGAGTTTTGTAGGGAATAACACTTTTGGAGCATTTTTCCGGGATTTTATGGAGCGACTACGAGCATTGGAGGAGCATGAACACTTTTCGTAGCCCAGGGCCAATTAGAGTCATTGAGCCGGTGATTAAGGGCTCGACATGTGAAATACCGAGCATTGGACACCGAGTAATAAGGCCCCAAAGTGGAAATTCGGAATTGGCTAAGAAGTGAAGCCCAATCCAAGTCCAAGCATATCCGGGCCCGTTCGGGCAATCTTTGGCTCAATCGGGCAGCTGCCCAGAACAAGGAGACGAAGAAAAAGGCGGGCCTGATCGGGCGGCTCTTCGCCTGATCGGGCGCATGTTTCTGATGGGATGATTTTGCGATTCACTTAGTTTTAATTAGGATTGGTTAGGAGTTTGATATAAGTACGATTTGGTGTTATTAGTATTACTTACTTCTTCTCTTAGACTTTCTCTCTCTACTTATCTTTATTTTCTCTCTGCAAACTCTATACTTTGTTCTTGATTCAACTCATTGTTTCCGTTAACTTTGGTAACGATTTCATCTCTATTAATTACAGTAATTTTATTTCTTTATTTCATCATGACTTATTTAATTGCTTTGATTTAATTATGTGTGAGTAGTTTCCAATATAAAGTTTGTGGGGATCCATAAATAATATGAAGAGGTAAATTATTAATGTTAATTGTCAATGCTTGATTAATTTCCTATTGATTGATTTAATGCTATGCAATTAGATTAGGCTTGGTTTAATTGTTTGAGTTATGC